GCCAAGCAATCAATAGTACTTCATCTGCAAGCCTACCCTAGGCTATAGTATTTCTGCATTAATCAAAACTAACACTGCTCCCAGGAACACATAAGGTAGCTGAGCCTTAAAGAAAGACCAGGCCTTTGAAGGGCCAGCACGTCACATGCTTTAAGATCACGATTTTTCTTGGAATCTATGAAATGTGAATATATACCAAGCAGTAGGAATAAAGCAGGAGAGACCTAACTGAAGATGCACCCATTTTACAGCTTTAGAGCACAGACCATACATTTTTACTTCTTCAGCACAAACATTCTCCCATGAAAACAATTTCAAGGCTAAATGGGGAAAGAGGGCAAAAAGGAGTAAACTAATTTATTAACTAAGACTCTCCATCCACTGCTATTACCATGACAAATACATTTAGGGTGCTCAAAAGCTGAAGCTGTAACCCAGCCTCTCCTTCCTCCCCCACACGACATGTCGGTAGGGTGTCACAGAAGAACCAATTTCCAAAAAGCTCTTGGCACAAGGTTAAAAGAACACTGCCATGTACAGGGAGTTGTGAACAGAATGCAGAATGCATTACAGTGAGAAGACATCAGTGTCTTCACTGGGGTGGAGGATGCAAAACTACACATAATTCAGCATGGTAAAAGGAAATTTAAGAAGCTAAGACGAACAACTCCCTACAGAGCTGACAGATCTCAAACTTTGAGGATCCTTGAAATGTTGTCCCTCTCTTCCCACCTCATGAGAAACCCAATTTTACTTGGATTCTGGAGTACATAGCAGACTACTAAATATTCTATAGCACCTGGTGGATTTTAACAGTCATTTCCACCCACAGGACACACTGAATTTTCACTCTGCTATTAAATGGCTACTGTTCCTCCTGTTTTACTTCCAGATTATTCACAAAAGGCAAGTTGAATTAGCAAAGCATAATTTTGTAAGAACAGAGGATGTCTATTCATTTGTAGTTTAAGCTACAGAGAGTTCAGCTTAAAAATATTATGGCTCTTCTATCCATTTTGTTACTACATATGGAGACTGAGCTGTTACCCAACAGAGTGAGCAGTACTACACAGGGACTGGTTGGTCTCAAAATTCAGCTCAGTACCATAACTATAAATGTGAATTTTTACCTGTGAACATTATTAGACTCCTCTATGACCTTGGATAACTATAAACTATTTGTTCCTCCCTTATTCCCTGTGCCTGTTAGATGAAAAAAAAGCCGTGCATTTTTAAATCTGATTGTCAGCCATAAACTCTGTTAATAAAGAATCTAGGCAAACCTCATCCATTTCCAGAACAGCCTTGCATTAGGGCTGGTCTTGTAACTTTCCAATAAAGTAACTTGTTGTTCACAAGAGACAAGTGAATCAATCAATTTAAGCAGGCACAAGGACTTTATTTAGACATGCAGTGTTTTATCAATTCATCTATTATTTTTATAGTTTCCTGAAAGACTGTGTGTATTTTAATATCCTGAAAGAGGATACACAAAGTGTATAATAGAATCCACTTAATTTTTGCAATGGTGAACTTCAATTCCCATCTTCACTGTGTAAACACACTGAACAGGATAAAAGCAAAATCTGAAGATGTACAAGAGTGGTCCCTTGAGCAAAAGGTCTGATAAGCTAACTGCTCAAAATGGCTTCAGATAACAATGGGAATTATTGTATCACAAAGTAAGGGCTCATCAACTCAAATATCTGCCACAGATTTTCAATTATCTGGAATGTGAACAGCAAAAAGAGACTAATTAGTGTGTATTTCCTCCTTTTTTTTTCACAATTAACACCAGCTGTTGGGGGGGAGGGCTAAGCTGTACCTTTTTAGTTTATGCCCCAATCCTGATGCTTTGTACTATGCAAAAATAGTAGTTTTCAATAAGATAAAAATGTCTCTGGCCGCTTACCTTTGAGCTTCTGGAGTTCATCCTTCAGGTCAGGCCCAGCATGCATGAATATACTTTCAGATACTGGATTCTTATCGGTGAGAGACTCATTACTGGTATTTACAATGGCCGTGCAGTTCAGTAACGCGACATCTCCTTTCCTGAGGAAACAGTTTATCGCAGGCTAAATGCATGATTAAGCAGGATATTCTCAAATAAGTGCTGACAAGCAAGGAAATGCCAAGTTACAGGAAAAGCTTTAGCTCCACTCCAGTGCCCACACAACATAGCACACCCTGATATGCCGAATCATCCTTTGCCTCTACCTGATGAAGACAGACTGCACGCAAACTGTCAGCCCCTTAAAAACTCCCAGCCTCAGCAGTAGCTTAGGGATGCACGTAGAAAAGGCAGTTGTTCTAGTTGTACGTAGGGCAATTCAGACAGCAAACATGCAAAGCAGCTTGTTAAACTGATGGAGTGTAATACCTTCTAAAAACCCACATATTTTCTTTCAAGGCAAGAGGACAATCCTTGTGCTACATTACTTTCAAATCGTCAACAATTTTTTCAATGTACTTCTTTTGGGTTGCTTACACACCATCCAGGGCACCTTACTGCTGCTGCTCTTCCTCAGACCACTAGAGTGATGCTGCAGCTGGACAAGTTTTCTTTGCTTTTGTTCCCAAATTGTGAACCCACAATTTGATCATGTTCATTCTGGTGTTTAAGGATCAGACATGCAGAAGATAAACAAGGCAGAGATGCGTAAGAGACAGAGGAGTAGCAGAACTGACCTGCTTTTTGTCACAGTAGCAGTCATTAGGGATTTGGGGATCAAAGAGCATAGGAAGGGAAATAAAGATTCCCACGCACAGGGAGAGATTCAAATAATAGTTGAAATTGCACACATTTATTACACCCAAGCTCAAGTCATAAGAGATATTTAACCTTTTACTCCTCTCTTCTTTTATTTAATCAGGTTCAGGAAATCCATGAACAGTCCCATTTCCCGCATGTATTACCCAGAAAGAGGTTCTCTGAATCTGTGTCCCTGAGAAATCCTTTTCTCTTCACATTGATTAATAAAGAGTTATTCTTCTAGACAGTAGGTTCACGAATCTGAGTTACAGTAAATAAAAACGGATGGAGTAAGTAGTTCACCTCAGCACACTGCACTTTATCAACAGATTCATGGAGACAAAGCACAGAATGGGGGGGAAGGGAAGAGGAAGTGCCCAAACCACATGAAAGAAAGAAATACTGATTTAAACCAGAAAAGTGAAAGCAGAATACAGAAAAAAGCTAGTAGACAGCAAGTATATTTTAAAAAAATTAAAAACCTCATATCAAAGTGCCCAACTAGGTTTTGATATTAAACATACAGCATCACAGTAGGAAGTACAGCTCCAGACCGTTGCACCAAGGACTGCTTATGAGCAAGCAATTTATAACCTGTGGTGGAGCAAAATCTCAGACTTGCAAATTTATAGAGAACAAAAAGATTATTTTCTTCCCAGATCTGTAATGTTTGATTCTAGAAGAGAGGATTTCAAGGCTTTATTCTACAGCAGCGATCATTATATGAGGCAATCAGATCCTGCAGTAAATGAAAAAGTGATGACAGACACACCAGGGCCACATGGAACTTACCATAAGATTATTTTTTCATTGATGTCTTTCCTGTATGGAAAAGGTGATCTAACATCAACTTGAGCCTTTCCAACAGGATTTTGGTGAGAGTCCAGCTGCTTGGCCTCATAGGCATCAGTCCAGCCTGGCAGAGTGTCAATATCCACAAACTGGGAAGGAGCACCCAAGGGATCCATGGGATGGAAACAACAACTCCCTTTCGCTGTTAACTTATCACACTCCAATTCTCACTGGAGTCTTCCAGGTGCTTTAAAGAAAGAAAATCAAACCGGGTCACCAGTTGTTCACTGAAAGTAATTCTCCTGTGGAGCCGGACCTCTCACAGGACTACAATACAGTTACAACCAGCAGAAAACAGAAAAACATTGATTTCTCACTCAAGCACTCCCTCTTTCTGTTTTGTTACCAGTAAGGCAATGCAAACGCAGTGAGACACACCTTTTCCAACAGTGCAAGGTGAAAACACCCTCTCTGCTAAATTGGTCTAACTGACTTGTAATCTTTTATTTTGGAAACAGTGACAACAAATTCCCAAGTGTAGAATGGACCTCAGTCTTCCTGAAGAGTGTTATTTCTCTAGCTAAACAAAAAGCAAATCTGTAGCAGGGTATGTATCATCAATTCCTTCAGAGGAATATGGCCCAGGGCCATATTTGGAAAAAACAAAACCAAAAAAAAAAATACACAGCTTCCCAAACCACAATGCCCCCCAAACCACAAACCTTACAAACAAAGCTATGAAAACGTCCTCCTTCCCTCCAAATCATACTGCCCTTGCAGTTCAGTGAATTCTGAACCACTGCAAACTAGACTTACTGTCACATAGTTCTTACAGTTGTGCACTCAGGCACAAAACTCCTTCACCCAAATAAGTTTTGTAAGAAAGAATAAAGCTGTAAATTTTAATGCTGGCCCAGTGAATTTGAAACTGAACTCTGTCATCAGATTAGGGTTTTTTAAAGCCTAAGATGACACTGGTTGCTAGATGAGGGCTACTATATTTTCATTGTGACTGCTAAACTACACTAGTGAATCATACTAGCGCAAACGTAACCACAGCAGTAACTTCAGTTTTGACATACACACATACTACTTAACTCTTTTCACAGGTTCATAATGGATAATAATTTAAAAGAGATTGCATCCACAAGGGGTAATTGTGAAACGTGGATTACAAAGCACGTTCATTAGCTAGGAGAAAACAACAAAACAAAACAACCAAGCATCCAAGCTCACACTGAGAGGTAATAAAGGCTGACAATGGGACAATGACAGCTGTAAGAGCAACTAAATAAGATTTCTGCCACAAAAAGCTGGGAGAAAGGCGACGAGCAAGAAGGGAAGAGCGGTTGCACTGGCTCTAACCCAAAGCTCATCTACAACAGCGGCTTCCCCCTGACGAACAGCCAAAACCAGAGGTCTGGGTAAGAGGCAGGAGGAGCGGGGCTGCTCCGGGATGTTTCCCCCACGCTCGGTGCCCGTGCCCACCCGCGGTGGAGGCGGCCCGGCGGGGATGACGCGGCTTGGGAACGGGCACAGGAGCGCTGGGAGTCCCACACCCCGAGGCGATGCGCGGGGGCCCTGCCTGGAGACGGAGGGACGCTGCTCTCCCACTCTCGCACCAGGCACACCGGCACACGGCAGCGCCAGGGCCCCGCCCGGCCCCACCCGCTCCCTGCCCGCACTGATCCCCGGCGGAACCCCGCAATCACGGCAGAGCGCAGAGGCCGCCGCCGCCCCGCCCGGGCCAGAGAGGTCCCGTCGCGCCCGCCTGGCGACTCACCCAGGGCAAGGCGCCGCGCCGCCGCGGCCTTCCGCGTCCCTTCCCGGGCGGAGCTTCGCCGCCGCACTTCGCCGGTGCCGCCCGTGGACGCATTCCAGCGCGGCGGGTACGGGCCTGGAGCGCTCCGGGCCGCTGCTCCCTCGCGCGTTCCCCCACGGGCCATCCCCTTCTTCCCCTTCGCGCGCGCCCCTGCCGCGTTTCCCGCGCCATGCGGCTGACGCGGCGTACTTGCGTACGAGCCCGCCCCTGTCGGGCTGTGGTCTGAGCCCAGAGCAGCGTGGAGCCTTCGTGGCGCTGCGCGGGGAAGCGGGGCGCTACGCTGGCCGTGCCGGGCTGCGGAGGCACGTGTTTCGTGTGGGACCGCCGGAAAGGAGAGAAGGTGCGAGCGGGCCGCCCGGACGGTTCCGGGGGATCCGGGTGGCGGGGCCACTGCTGGGGTGCAGCGTGCGGGGCTTTTGGGCCACCTGAATCAAAGCTGTTTGTGTTACTGGGCGGTATTTGAAGAGAAGCGACTCCTGCACAGCTTCCCCCCCTCTGTAGTGCGAGCACAGTGTGAGGTTTGATTGTGGCTCGAGTCCGCAGTTCCGGTCGTGTCCTGACCCCATCGTGTTGTCGTTTTCCAATTCCCCAAACTGGTCATTGGACCAAAAGGATCCCGCAGAGTGTTATTTTTTTGATAGTCCAGAATAAATTCCAGTGTTGGATGCTTACAAGAAGGTCTTGGTACTATTTATTTCTGTTTAAGGGCTTGATAAGATTTGCATTTGTTGAAATCTCACAGACAGCACTGCCACACAGAGCAGATGCAGCTGCAGATGATTTGGCTATCTCGAATGCAGCAGCTCTCACCTTTGTTTTCTTTTGATAGTACCTTGTGGCCATCAGTTGTCAGAGGGAGAGAATGGCGGTCCTGCTGTTCTGCTCTTACTGTGGGAGTAATTTATTTTATCTTGACTTAATCCTAAAATGGCTGGATCTCACTGTGGATCCTTTGAGATTTGCCTCAGTACCTGAGTTGAGGATGAGTAATTGCTGTCATGGTGACTGGAAAGCTGCTCCCTGTTTAGCTGGCTGTGTGAAAGTTCTTGGATGAATCAGGGATGTCATGGAGTTTGTGTTTTGGCTGTGGAACTGGGCATCCCATGTGAAACTTGTATCTCATAGGAAGGCAGTGAGCTGTAACTTTAAGGACTTTGCCACATGTTGTCTCCTGAAATCACTGTAAGTGCTACTGTCCACTACAAACTGAAATCAGGATTTACTTCACAGCCCCTAGAGTCTGGCAGCTGGTATGTTGTTTTGGAGATGTTCTTGTGCAGTCTGTGGGGAAGCAGTTCTGTTCTGTTCCTGAGAAAGGCCAGGCAAGAGAGAATGAATTAGGAAGAAACTTTCAGTCTTTACTCTCATACAATGCTTCTTGCTCTCTGGCACTTAAAACACAGAGGCAGAATTCTGAACTGCTGAGTTCCAGACTTCATTCTGCACCAGTTTCCTGTTTATGAGAAAGTACTTCCCTTCTAACTGCTGTTTGCCTTGGAAAATGGGGCTAATGACACTGTATTTGGTGCAGGAAGTTGAAAAACGAACTTAGAAAAAGGCAGAAGCTCTCGGATGTTCAGTTTAAGAGTAGAGAATGTTCTTTCTGCTGTGTAAATATCTGGCTCTGACATATCATTTATCAACATTATCCATGTTTTGTCTCCTAAAAATTGCAGGTTCTTATCCTTAAGGGTCTCAAGCAGGAAGTCAGTTGCCTCTGCCCGTCTCCAGATGGGTTGCACTTGGCTGTTGGGTACGAAGATGGATCAATCCGTATCTTCAACCTCCTAAGCGGAGAAATGAATATCACTTTCAATGGACACAGGGCTGCAGTTACAGCACTGCAGTATGACCATCTGGGTGGCCGTCTTGTATCTGGCTCAAAGGTGAGGGTTGCTCATCCGGAGGATGGCTCTTTCACGGAGATGCTCCATGGGGAAGGCTGACCTGCACTAAAATGTTCAGCATTTTAAGTGGGTTGTGTGGCCTCTACCTGTAGCAAAAGGATAGCAGTGAGAGGAGTTAGGATAGCAAGACAGTGATGAAGTTGGGGAGCCCAGGGCTGGGAAAGCAGCAGGGGCTGCAGGGCAGGAGTTGGGTACTAGTAGAGATTTTAAAGTGAAGAAGCTTGTGAGGTCAGGAATAGTGAAAGTGACTCAGTCTGGGATAACAATACATTTATTAGTCTGAATGCACCTTTTGGGAAGCAATGGTACTTGCATTAAGTATCCTTGACATTCAAGTTGAGAGTGAGAAAGTGTGCTCTCAGGTGATATTTTCAGTCTTGTAGCAGAAGTTTTGCAGAGACAAATGCCAGTACCTTGGAGATGCTCTCTCTGTTCCAGGATACCGAAGTCATCGTCTGGGATGTCATCAATGAGAGTGGTCTGTACCGGCTGAGAGGACACAAGGATGCTGTCACTCAAGTCCTTTTCTTGAAGGAGAAGAACCTATTGGTCACCAGGTGAGCCAGGCTAAGTGTAGTTGTTGATCAGGAAAGCAGGCATGGTTTTCCTTGAAATTTAGACATCCTATGTTCTACAGCCATTTGCGTTCTCCTTCTTGTTTCATGAGATCTCAGATCCACCATCATCTTTGATTTTGTCACATGCACATATTTTTTAATAGTACTTGAATCCAGATGTGGTTAGTGGAGCTGAAATGGCCATACTGAAAAAACAGTATTTAGAAAAGGGTTTAACAAGCTGGTAAATGCAGCAACTTAAAATTATTTTAACAAGGAATAATGATAATATGTTCATTATATATGTAACCATTTTTGCTGTTTATCTTGAAGAATTAGCCAGACTTAACTGTCTGTATGTGTAACTCAGACAACAACGTGACAGAAAAATTGCTTCCTCGTAAGCTGTAAATATAGGAATAAATTAAAAGATGATAAGGGGTTTTTTTAGTTGGTTTTTAGTTATTCAACATGAACTGCGAGTTGACTAAATTCTTTTAATAATAAATGGTTGACAGAAGATACTCTTGCTGAAGTGTCAGTAATTTTTTACTTATCAATATGTCATCTAATAGCCTAATAGAAAAGTCCATGCAATCAGTTGAGTGTAAAATTAGAGTTTCTTTAGCTTTTTTTTTTTTTTCAGATGGAAAAAGTAGTATTTGATCAGTTTAGTGGATGATACCCATCTCTTAATGCAATTTCAATATTTGCAGGTCAGCTTTACAAATGCTGCTTAATTTTCTCAGTAGCTAAATTGAGATAAAATTCCTCTCTGTTTTTTTACCTATTTTAACAGAGTAGAGATATTATCCTGTTTTTCTGGAGATACAAAGTCTTGCTTCCTTACTTTAGATTGTTTTATTGCCCAAGCAACTAACTGCCTTCCTTCATGTACAGAATTTTTTGTGGTATTTTCATATGTCCAATTTACAAATGCCTTTGGATCCTATGTAACAAAAGAGGTGGATTAACAATAAATACCACTTGTAATCAGAGAGTTTTTTTTGTCCTGAGGGAGCTTAGTAATGTAACAATTTATATCTTGATTTAATTGAAACTTATTGAGGAAAGAGGCTCTGACAAACTTACCAAAAATAAAGTTAAATTGTTGTAGGGTGCACTGAAAGAACCTGTTTAAATGCTGGAATTACTTTTCTTGGATGCTCTTGTAGGATTGAGGCAGCTTAATGTGTGTGTTTTCAAGGAGATCTAATGGTATGTGGGCTTTGAAGGACTGAAACAGCTGTAATTGTTAGGAGGAGCCACTCCAGATGAGTGTTCAAAAGGAAGGGATCTGTGTTTCTTGTAGCCTGGTCAATGCACAGGCATGGCACTGGTTGCGACTAAGGAGAATCATTCTCATCCTGAATAAGCAAGAAAGAAGGCAGTGTGACACTGGGGCTGGCAGCTGCACCCAGAGGTGGAAGCAAATTATATTTTTGTAGTACTTTTGCATTGCTCTACTTTGTTCTTGTGTACGTTGTGAAATTCAGTGTCTGAGCAGCTGCTCTGGGAAATGTTATGGCACGTTTTAGATTTTTTTTTTTTCTGTATTTCTACCACTTTTCTAAGCATGTGTGCTCTGGCAGTCTTTCCTCAAGTGCTGAGTTTTGATTCTTTGTTCCAGCGGCAAAGACACATTGGTAAAATGGTGGGATCTGGATACCCAGCACTGCTTCAAAACTCTTGTTGGACACCGAACTGAGGTAAAGGGGACATGTGGGGAACTGTTGGGGTGGAGGGACTTTGGATTACATGGCTCACTTTGTGCTTTCCCTGCTCTCAGGAGTTGTAAGCTGGCACTGTCATACATTTTACTTGTCATAAGCTTTAGGAATGAACAAATGAGAAACTTCTATACTTTCCAGGAGCTGTCATCAACATGCAGTGGCTGACAATTCCGATACAGATGTCCCCAGAGGAGGTCTCAGCTAGCCATTCTCTTTTGTTTAATTAATTTAAATAAATCAATTAAAGATGCACTACTGTTGTGATAGTTAAAGCAGCCATAAGCCATTTCCTCACACTGTGTCTCTGGACAGGTCTGGGGCATGGCTTTGCTATCCAAAGAGAAGCGTCTGATCACTGGGAGTGCTGACAGTGAGCTGAGGGTGTGGGATATCACATACATCCAGGAGGTAAGACACTCCCTCTGTAACCCCTCAATCTTCCCCCTGTCCGGCTGCTTGTCTTTGGACTGAGGTGGGACTAGTACATATGAAAATCTAATTGATGTTCTGGGAAACAGAGCCAAAGCAACATCTTTGCTGTCTGAGGGGTCCAGAAGCTGCCCTTGGGATAGGCTTTGCTGTTTTCTCTGTTTTTAGCTTTCAAGTGAGGCTGCAAGCACTTGCAGAACAAGATTTCCACAGTGTGTCAGATCTTCCTGCCTTATGGCTAGAGGGGACAGTCTTGTGGGTGGATGATAATCATGGGAGAACATGGAGTGCTTGGTGCCTCCAGGCATGCTGTAGGCCACTCTGGTGTACATTAACTAATTGTATCTCCAGGGAAATGAAGTGTGAGACAGGAACAAGAATGCTGTAGCTCTTATGGTTTAAGGTACTCCTTATGGTGGTTTTTTTTTGCCCATGAACAGGTAAAAGACCCTGACGAGCCAGAGTCCAAGAAAAGCAAAGGGCCTTCACCTGGCACAGAAGAAAACACTAAAGAGGATGAGACCTTAGAATTGGATGAGCATCCTGAGGAAGTAAGATCAGTTTTCTGTGCTGTCTATGAGATGGTATATCTAACCTCATTTATACCCTGAGTGTCATATTTAACCTATTTGGGAAAACGTGATTCTTGTTTTTCTCCCTTATTCTTCTCTTGCTCCGTAACAACTTCCTCAGCAGCAGTTGCTGCCTCATCTACCTGCAAAACATCAGCAGAACTATATGTGCCAAAACACATACACATTATTCTCCACTGAAAGAGGAGGACTAGCAGATGTTTAAAGTTTAACTCTGCTAATAGAGCTCCTTGATCAAACAACACAGGATTAAGACAGTTACTGGCTGGTTGGCAGTGCTGATGCTGAGCTTTGCAGGTCAGTAACAGAAACTGGGAGGTCAGAGTTGTACCATAAGGAAGTATGATGTGAGATTTGATTGCAGAAAGCCATTTTTACTTGTGCTGCTGCTGGAGGCTTTACTGAATCTTTCTTTCTGGTGGAACTTTCTAGGGTACGGCTCAGATTTCACATCGCTTGTAGTTGTGGTAGATACCTTGTTAAAGAATTTTCCAACTTCCTCTCCAGGTGATTTCTCTCCCTTCAATCCTTTGTTTAAGAGTCTTTGTTGTCACCCTCTCTGCCTCTACTGACAGAGGAACTAAGTTCTGGTGCCTTTGTAGCATAAAAATTCATCTCTGTCTCTTAAATGGCTGTGGTTTGCCAATAAATTTAAGTTATTCTTCCACTGAGACTGTCAATGATTATTTTTCAGTTAAAATGCAACAAAATATAAGGAGATAAGCTTTGTAGCTCACACAGATGCTTGTTTTGTTTTGATTGTCCTTACTAGCTGTTCTACCAAGACCTTTTAGATTCATTTCCCCCTCTTCTCTTCTTGACTTCCCTTGTCAGCAGGTTTCTGAGTTTGCTTGGGAAGATCATTTGACATTTCAGACCAGAGATTTTTCTTCTTTCCCTATAGCGCATCGTTAAGTGCAGCAAAGTTGGATCCATTGTGCGGGAAGGGAGAGACCGAGTGGTTACTCTTGCCACAGACCGAATGGGCAAGTTTTTGGCCTGTCATGTGAGTAATAGGCTCCTCTGCTATTGAGCTGTAGAGGAGGCTGTTAGAGACCTTGGGTAATTTCTGTGAGGGCCAGCCAGGGCTTTGCACTCCTTTGACTTTGTTTGCTCTGTCTCTAGGGAACAGATGCTGTTCTGGAAGTGTTTTCTGTCCTTTCTGAAGAGGAAGTGCAGAAGAAATTGGAAAAGAAAATTAAGAAAGCAAAGAAAAAAGCCAAGTAAGCAGTCTTTTGGATGTATTTGGATGCTGTCAGTGTCCAGAAAACTGTTAGAAAAGCCACTCAAGTAGCATTACACAGGGGTTGAACTCCAAGCTTTTGGTCATTCTGTTTGTGCTAGCCATTGTATTTTGGGGTTGCTGTTCCTGTGCATCCTTGGTGCTTGTCTGATCAACATTGCTCTTAGAGACTAAGTAGAGACGTTTCTTTCTGAGTCTTCCCCTTGCAAAAAAAGAAGCTAATGTGTGCAAAGAAATGGTCATAAAATAAGTTTTTCAGAGCTACTCACCTCTACTGAGGTGCTGTTTATACTGCTTGGTGCATGAAAGTAAGTCCTTGATAGGACATGCAGGAATGAGAGTTTCATATGAAAAGTCAGAGTGACTCTGATACCTCATCTCCTGTTTTACATTAGGCTCGTGAGAGCTTACATACAGGTGAGAGCTTTCTTAATGTTTTCTTAGTGTTAAGTGTGTCTGCATATCCTGGCACTTAACAGGTGCCTCAGAGCTGCCCTTAGGGAGAGGTCTGACTCCAGGGTAGAAACTAAAGCACAGGGTGTGTAAATCTGGAGATGCATTTTGGCAATGGCCAAGGACTTTTGGTGGGTGGTAGGAGATGAGCAGAAGCTGCTCTCACTCTCAAACACAGCTTTCTGTTGCCTGTTTTGCATCCGTATTTCTCACATGCCTTGTTCAAGTGCTTTGGCTCCAGACGAGGTTGCCTTTTTTAGGACAGATTTTCTCTTTAGTAGTCTTCATACCGGCACAAACTTCACTGTCTCACCCTGTTCCTAAATGTGATTGGCATTGCTGGATAAGAGAGAGATTATTTTCAGCAGGCTAAGCGATTACTTTATGTTGTTCTGTGTCTCTGTGTTAGTTTGTGTTGGCTGTGATGGGTCACTTGACTCTCCTCCCTTATCTGACATTTGTAGACAGAAATCTGAAGAGGTGCCTGAAAGGAGTGTAGAGCTGAGCCTGCAAGAGGAGATTCAGCGGGTCACTAATGTCAAAGCTTCTTCGAAAATCAAGTGAGTGAGCCTGTGATAGAGCCTGAGCAATGGTTATGCAGCTACCTGGGGAGAGCTCTGCACAGCTCGATAGGGGGAGAGGTGGAAGAAATTTCCCCTTTGACGTTTGTTTGACTTGGAGCTGGGGAGAGGCCTACCGTGATCTCCAGTCCATTAACACTCTTCCGCACACTTCTGCGTCTTAACGTGCACTTGCCTGTTGGATGTGCTCTGTCTGTATTCCTGTATCATTTGACCTTGATATTTGATCCCTCCTACAGTTTGCCTTATTGCCCCTGTGTACAGCTCTGATTTTGTCTGATCAAACAGGTCATTTGACTTGATTCTCTCTCCAAAAGGAGAGCTGAAGATCGTACTGTTGCTCCAGAACAACATCATTGAGTCATACAACCTGGACCTGTCAGCACAAGTCCCACAGGCTGTCCGTGCGTCCAAGATAACCATTGGAGGCCACCGCAGTGATGTCAGGACGTTGGCTTTTAGCTCTGACAACATTGCCATTCTCTCAGCAGCTGCAGAGTCTGTAAAGATTTGGAACAGGTATGCAGTCCAGTTGGGTCAGTGTCCTCTGCCCTGTGTGTGTCAGTCTCCCAGAACTCAGATGAAAAGCAGTGATAAGGGAGAGGAGACAATGGAGAGTGATAAAATAGTGAATGAAGTAAAGGAAATAAAAAGAAAACTATTTGATTTGTTTTCTTATTAGGGAAACTGAGAAGCTGTACACCTAAAATTGCAACACAAGGTCTAAATGCAAAAGTCATACATAGTAGTCTGGTAGAGACTGTATTATGTTGTGAGGGTTTTTTTGTTTTTTTTTCATTTTTAATAAGAGGTACTAACTGTTACGCTAAACAAGCTACTGCCTGTTCTTTTGAGACCATGTGGGTTATCTGAAGGATCTAGTATTAGACTGAGTAGGCTCTGCTTTGATCTAGATTGTTGTCCCAGTGTTTCCTGAGTGGTACAGTGTTTCAAGCTCTGTTACCTTTGAACTCTCTCCCTTATACTCCTCTCTCCTCTCCTGAGTGACAGGAGTTGCTGTTGGAGGACGGGAGCTCTGTCCTTCCTCACAACAGCCATAAGTCGTGATGGTGGACTATATAATTGCATGTTTTTATGGAAAATGTTCTTAGCAGTGATGCTGGATAGCATTTGGGTCATAGGATGGTGGTGGTGTCTCTTCTGACCCCAGCTGAAAGACAGCTGTGGGCAGATGCTACTCTGGAGCATGTCTCTCACTGAGTGGGCCAGATTTTGTGTCTGATAAGAGGATCTGGGCTCTGTCTCTGCCCACAGATCGACCTTGCAGTGCATCCGGACGATGGACTGTGAGTATGCGCTCTGCTCGCTCTTTGTCCCGGGAGATCGGCAGGTCATCATTGGCACCAAGGTAAGGAGTGTCCTTCTGCACTCCACACTGCCCAGGTCTGGAAATATGTTGTGAAAGTGTCATTAAGGCAGCCTCACAGAAAATGCACTGTGTCTCCTGATGTGGAGCACTCTGTTTTAGGTGTAAAAACCTCTCTGACAGGTTCTGCTCTGTTCCCAAACTCTTTATGGAGTTCTTTTAGCTTGAACTGAACATCTGGGGAGAGCTCCGACATCCCTGACGGAGATCAGGAGTTTGGTCCTCTTTGTAACAGTCATCTAATGAAGCTGGCTACTGGGGAGATGGATGGCAGGGAGCTATCATGAGTTGTGAGCGGAGGGGCTGATTTGTCGTCTGTGATGTATCTTTCTCCCCAGACAGGGAAGCTGCAGCTGTATGACCTGGCTTCTGGGAGTCTGATAGAGACACTTAATGCTCACGATGGGGCAGTGTGGTCCATTGCTCTTTCACCAGACCAGGTAACTTAGCCACCTTTCTAAGTATCATCTGTAGCATGTCTTTTTGTGTAGCTCCTTCCTTCAGTGTTGTGTTTACACTACTGATCAGACATGGGAACCCCTCATCCTGGGAGGTGGAGAATGCAGCTCGTAGCATCTAAGAGCTTTGTAGTGGAATCAAAACAATAGCAAGCAATAACCTGCCTGACATTCGTGCGCCCTACAGGTTAAAACATACAGGATAGATTTTACTCTTGTTCTGAACGTAGTGTAAATGGGATAATGTTGAACTGTTCTTCATTTAGAAGGCTGTGCTTGTGTGGTGATGGTAGGGTGTGTGTGATCCAGTAACAGTGGGAGTGTCAAGTTGCCCAGAAAACGCATGCACATTGTTACCTACAGCTGAGGTGACTGCTTTCGGTCCCAACATTTCAGTCCAGGTTTTGATTTTTGTTTGGGGTCTTTGTTTTAGACCTCCTTACTAGAGCTTTTGAAATTGTTGTTGCTCCTCAGCCAATGGATAATGCATGCTTTAACCAGAGCAAGTGTTCCTGGTGGTGTCCACTTAATCATTTTAATGCTGTAGGAAAGTGGAACACTTCAAAAACCTTCTTGTGTGTTGGCAATTCCTTGCTGTAGAATTTATCTGGATTATAGCAATTGGTTTCACAATAACTTTTTTGTTTTCCCCTGCAGCGTGGCTTTGTGACAGGAGGAGCTGATAAATGTGTCAAGTTCTGGGAGTTTGAGCTTGTGAAGGATGAGAGCAGTATTCAGAAAAGGTGAGAAAATAAACCTTTCTGGGCTATGTTGAGCTGCAGTCTCTGTTGTTGTTGATGAATGCTTTGGCCTTTGCTGTGCACTGCAAGAAGTGCCCATGACATCTGTATGGAACACGTGGAGAAGAGTGTGAGCTTGGTGCTGTTTTGTGAAGGCCTGAGCTTAGCTGGAGAAGGGCACTTGTCTAATTCTGATCCCTTTCTTCTGTATGAGTTTAGCTTCTAATCAGGATAGGCTTCCAGATCATTAAGTATTAAATTTAGCAGTGAAGTTCATCAGCCTGCAAGGCCTGCTTATTTCCAGTCCTGTCTTATAAAATTCATAGTGAGGAATGAGATGCTGCATGTTACAATTAACTTGCATTCCCAGGATGCAGTGTGGGACTTCCTATTTCTTCCTAACTTGTTTGTTTGGGATAACAATTGTTTTTTTCCTCTTCTTGTTGCCAGGCTCTCCATGAAACATGTGCGCATTTTACAGCTGGATGAAGATGTTCTCTGTGTGCGGTACAGCCCCAACCAGAAGCTGCTGGCTGTCTCCTTACTGGATTGCACTGTGAAGATTTTCTATGTTGACACGCTCAAGGTGTGCAAGACCAAATGGGCTGTGAGGCTGTGCAGGGAGTGATGTAATGGTAACCTGCAAGATGAGGGATACATAGGAAAAATGTCTGTTTATTGCACAACACTAGTAAGAATCAGAGAGACTATGCATCCTGCTTCAGGTGCCTGTTTGCTAGCAAACCTGACAGAACCATGGCTGGCTGACACTGGGGAAAAGATCCATGTATCATTTGGAAAGCGTTCTGAGCCTGTAGGTGTCAAGGTTCATTCTAAACGTTGCAGACATGGTGTTACTCCTGAATTGTGAGGCACTGTAAGGGTGTAGATGGATGTGTCACATGTGGCACTAAATAGGGCATAGCAGAGGCAAAACCTGGGGGAGGAGAACCTTCCTTGTGAGCAGTGTGTGGTGGTTTTGTGAGTTGTGTATTAGCACATGAATGTTAGGGAGTGACACAGGACAGACTGGAGCTGACAGATAGGCAGAGAGAAATAAACTCCATAGGCAGTGGTGATTAGCACCAGAATAAGTTCAGCTTGCTTGGGTACTTCCACCCTTCTCTCAGTTCTGCCATCATGACCCTGCTGCAAACTGTTCAGGGCAAGAATAGAAGTGGAGCAGCACTAGAAAGACAGAGCTCCTGACGCAGATCAAAACTAGCCTGTAGCTTGAGATTTTTACACATCTCTACCCAGCATGCCTAACTGAGTCACCTTTCTTCTGCTTCAGTTTTTCCTCTCTCTGTATGGACACAAACTGCCAGTGCTGTGTATGGACATCTGCTATGTAAGTATCATTAGGGCTGTGTTAGGTGGGTCAATAGGTGATATGGATGATTGTGAGAACCTCTGCTAGCAGCAAGGCTTCTAGGATAATGGTTTCTTATCACCCCCTTGCTCCCAACTCAGCAGTTTCTGTATGGGACACAGCAAGCAGTCCTGTGCTCCCTGGAAGGAGTACCAGAGTAGTGGTCATGACAGAACTGACCAGGGCATTTTGTGAGTGAGTGGAAATCAAAATGCTCTTGTGGTTCCTTAGACTCAGCTTAAAAGGTACTGCCTGCTCTCTGCTAAACTTACGAACTATGTGAGAGGAGCCTGAATTTTTTGTTAGTGGGAGCAGAGACCAGGTGCTGAGATGAAGCACCCTCTTGTCTGCTTTCATGTCTATTCATTCTTGGGCTGCATCTTGCTCTGGGGTGTCTTTGAAATGAGGCTCATTGAAAGCCAAGAATATCAAGATATAATTAAATACCTGCAGAGGTTCAGAAGAGGGCCAGAGTGCTGTCAGTGCGCTGTACCAGTACCACAGGCATGGGCCACCATGGTGAGAGAAGGTGGAGGTATCAGAAGGCCGTATTTCAGGGGCCAGATACCTGCCTACTCATCAGTACTTAGTCACTGGTTCAGCAGCAGTTCCTCGTGGGGCTGCCAGCCAGCTACCCACACCCTCCTCTCTCTTTTTGCTCTGTAGGATGGGACTCTGATTGCGACCGGCTCTGCTGACAGGAATGTGAAGATTTGGGGCTTGGATTTTGGAGACTGTCACCGTTCTCTCTTTGCCCATGATGACAGGTTAGTCAAATCCTACAGCATCTGGACTGTGGACTCTCTTGTCTCCAAGGGATTGTGATCCAGCAATAATCCTTTTGTCCAGCATAGAGTGGAGGGAAGGTCTGCAGTGTTCCCCAAGTGGGTAAATTTGAGCCTTCTTCTCTTCCAGTGTGATGTATCTGCAGTTTGTGCCGAAATCCCATCTCTTCTTCACAGCTGGGAAGGACAGCAAGATTAAGCAGTGGGATGCAGATAAATTTGAACATATCCAGACCCTGGAGGTAGGAAGTTTTTGAGATTTGTTGAAAGGAAGCATTATCCCTGCATGAGCAGCATTTTCCTCAGGGCTGGGAGTTGCGTGGTGTTCATGCCATACCTCTTCTGTCTACCATGCAGGGGCATCACCAGGAGGTGTGGTGTTTGGCACTCAGTCCCAGTGGAGACTATGTGGTGTCAGCATCCCACGACAAGTCCCTGCGCCTCTGGGAAAGGACGAGGGAGCCACTTATTTTGGAAGAGGAGAGGGAGATGGTGAGAGTTGCATCCTTCCTGCCAAAGACAACTTCCAGGACTGTTTTCAGCAGGCAGTTTCCTCATTTTTCACTGTGGAAGAGCCTGGCTCTACACTTGGCACACTGGCTCATTATGAACCACAGCCTGGTGTTGGGGTGCCCAGGCTTGTCTATCACCTTTTGCATGATGGGACTGTGCCCTGAGCTGTCTGCAGACAGCACTTGCAGGTGTTGCCTGTCCTTGCTTGTCCTGCATTGCAGATGCCTGGCTAACTTGTTCTCTGCTTTGCTTCTCTCCTGCTTCTCAGACTTTGGTCTGTAGTTGTGGTTTTCTGCAGGTCTGTTGGCTACAGTCTTTGATATTCTCTTATTCTCTTGTCCTCCTTTCGATACAAGTGTGTTTGGGAGGCAGTTCAGCAGGTGGCTGTTGTGGAGTGATGGAAAGCACCGCTTCTGTTAAATGCGGTTTGTCTTGGTTTCCCCTTTCCCTACTGTGAGAGGTCCATTCTGTCTTAGTAGCAGGCCCCAGAGCTCAGGGGTGCTGGAAGAAGCCCCTTCTATTCCATTTGAGCATGTATTGTGAGGACTCATAGACTCCAAGAAGGACTTCAATAGGAGGGAAGGTATAAAGGTCTCTAGTCCAATCCTGTGCTCACTGCAAGGTAGCCTTAAAGCAGGTGCTCAGATACTTGTCTTGGTACGTGGACATCTCCAAGGAAAGAGATTTTCCAGGCTGTCTGAGCAGCTGTTCCAGTATTGAGCCACCATAGGGGCGGTGGATGTGTTTATTTCATGTATCCAAGTGGAGATTCCATTGGAATAATTTGTAACTCTTGTCTTTTCATTGTATCCCTCAGAGGAGCCTGTCTCTGTCACCCCTTCTTAAAGCCGTTCTCAAACCACGGTGAGGGAAGGAGGCAGAAATGCAGAAGCAGAAGTAGATGAGAAACCTGCAATAGATGTATGGGGTTTTTTTTATCCCAGCCTGTTTGTAAGAGCTGACCCAGAGCCTGCACTTTGATGCCCAGTGTTTGGTGTGCTAGGAATAAGGGTGGTAAAAAGAGAGACAGCGTCTTTGCTAGATTCTAGAAAAGTGTGTTTTGGGTCAAGTTTGAGTAGCAAGGTGGGCATGAATACACCAGTAGTGAATTACATGCTGATGTAATTGATGCCTGTTCATATGAGAGATGGCAGACTGGAGGCTTTTTCCTCTTGCATGCTAGGACAACCCTGGGACTCCTGTGCTGTGTGACTGGTGAAAGCTCTGGTGCTGAACTGCTGTGGTGTCTGTCTCGGCTTGATGGGCTGCATCCAGAGCAGAGACCTTAATTTCTTCTTGTCTGGAAGATGCTAGAGTTGCCTGTGGTGTTGGGACCAGCCACAAATGGGCATTTTGCACTGGCACTGTTGATCTCTGCTTATTTATCCTGGTTTTGCAGTGGGCTGCATGAAGCTGCAGGCTGCCTTGCTCAACCAGTCTGGAGGGAATTTGTACCCTTGCTGCCTGCTCACTCCTGTTAATATGTTGTGTTCTCATCCACTGTAGCAACGAGAAGCTGAATATGAAGAGAGCGTGGCAAAGGAAGAGCAGCCTGTGGTGAGTTGCACCATCTGAATGTGTGTCTGTCTGACTGTACAAACTCTGGAATAACTATTTCTGTAAGAGGTATAGAAGAGGTACCAGAGAGGAAAGATAATTTTCTTACTTTGAGGAGGTGCAGGGGGGAAGGTGCTGTGGAAGCTGTGGTTGCACCACGATGCATTTGACTTTGGTACTTCACACAGACAGCTTCAGGAGATTGTGTGGAGCTGGCTAAACTGCTACACAGTAGCTGTGGACACTGAAACCTTGCTGTGCTTTTGCCCTATTTATCTCCCCAGTTCAGGTCCACACCAGCTCTGTACCAAGGCAGGGCTGCCTTCTGGCAGCTGCTTCCAGGTCCATGATCCCTCTAGCTCAGATGCTTGGGTTGTGTTGCTGGTTGTTTTGAGACTTACTAGATTACCTGGCCTCTGTTGGCAGAACAAAAACTGTATTTTCCTGCCTCCCAGAGCTCAGTGTTAGTACAGTGCCTCTGTTCTGGAGGAAAAGCTGTGCACTTGCGAAAACCTGTATTTCCCTGCATAAATGACCAGTTTAGGGAACAGGGCTGATGTTTTTCTTAGTATGGATTATGGTAGGATGCCTACCACAGCGGGTGCCTACGTGTATGAGCTGCTCAGCTGCAGAAGGATGGAACTGCAACTCTATTTTGTAGGTGCCTGGAGAGACGCAAGGAGAGACAGGGCTGGCAGGAAAGAAGACTATTGAAACCATCAAAGCGGTAAGGTTGTGTGGGTTTGCCAGTGTTGATTTGTGCCTTACCACCCTCTGCTCTAGGGGGGCTGTCACAGGGTCAGAGCATCAGTTTGAAGAGTAACTCATGCTGTCACATAAGGGCAAATTGCCTCTGCCTTGCAAGAGCCGTCTGTCCTGCTCCGTGACCGACAGAGAAGGATCTGACTCTAGAGAGTCCCACACCAGGAAATTCTGAGATCTCTCCAGAGAATGAGATGTGAGATTCCTGTAGCTGCAGCTTTCTCTGCCTGTCGTGTGTGGGACAGACTGGCCTGCTCTTGCCCTGTGGGGTTTGAAGCCCAAAGGAGCACAAGGCAGCTGGGATGTTCTCTAGACATCAGGCCTCTCCCTGAAGGGCTGTGCAGTCCCGTGGGCATCTGTGGAAGGTGAAAATGTATTGTGGAGCTTAAGGAGGGAAGTGTAGCAGGAAAGTGTGGGGGTGGGTAATTTCATGGCCGCAGATTTCAATGGTTTGGTGCTCTTGTAAATACAGAGGAAATCCTTAATCTGAATAGGCAAAATGTCCTGACCCTGGCTTGTGCTTCAAAGGGGTACTGCTTGCTGTGGGTGAAGTTCAGTGTCAAGGCAAGAACTGAAGCTGCAGCAGAGAGCACCCGGGGAAGTAGGGGCAGTGTGGGTGGTGTGTGATGTCTTCAGGACATGATTGATGTACTCAGGTGCAGTCTGGAGCAGAGGTTATTGGGCGAGATGCCCTCTGGTGCTCCAGGTCAGCCCCTCTGCTGCCACCTCCATTTGTCCAGTTGGCTTGTCCTGTGTCACTGATGTGCTGTTCTTGTGTTGCACAGGCTGAGAGGATCATGGAAGCTATCGAGCTGTACAGAGAAGAGATGGCAAAACTAAAGGAACACAATGCCATATGCAAAGCTGCAGGGAAAGAGGTAAAAGACTGAGGAAGGTACCAATCCCAGTGTGTGTTGAGTGTATCCTTCCAGCTCAGGTGGTTAGTATGCAGATAAAGTCAGGATAGCCAGAAACAGCAGATATTTGCTGAAGTCTTTTGGAGAACTAAATGGCACCATGCTCTGGGGCATGGTTAGTGGTGCATTCTTTCCTTCCAATATCTTTATGTTTAAAGCCATAGTAGGATCTACGTTTTGTCCATGGAAGAGTGTGCTGCTGCAAATTCATCCTAAAGCCTAGTCTTTGCCTTCATCTCAACAATCCCTGCTAAATAAGGGGCTTTGATGTAAGGGGGAAAAGTGACAAGAAGTGGAAGAAAATTCATACGTGTTTGAGTTAGTCATATACTTCTGAGAATGAGATTGTCTAGTGGCTGCAAATGAGGCCTTCAGTGACGTTCTGGAGAGGATGGGGGTGTGGGAATTGCAGAAAGACACTCAATAAAAGCTCTCTTCTACTATGGATGAAAATTTGGTCTGAATATGCATTTGTACACACACACCTTCCTCATTCTAACCCATTCTGTATCTCCAGGTTCCCTTTCCTGTCAACCCCATCCTCCGTGCCTTTGGCAATATTACGGTAAGAGGAATGCCCAGGCCACAGGCTGAGGTTCTTTCTCAGCTTGAATGGGGCTGGTTGGTTTGCTGGCTGAACCAAAACACTGGGTTGCTGTGGGAAAGAACAGCTTGATCCAACTTGAAAACTTGGCACTTCGGTTTGTGCAAAGCGAACATAATTTGGGTTTTTCACGATTGTGGAGTTTTGGTGGATTTTTTAAATTATTTTTTAGTATCTTGCATGTGTGTTACAAAAGTTTAACCCCATCAGGGTTAAAGAGGGGGGAATGAAATCCTGTGGCTCAGTAGCTAGCAATTTCTTTGCAGGTGGATGATGTTTAATTGAATCCACTGTACAGAAAAGGGAGTTTGGACCTGCTTCCGAAGTCTTGGAGAATATGCTAGTCCAAGTGCTAGGCTGCTGGGTAAAAACATAGGTGCAAATCATGATATGTCCTGTTATGTGGTTACTTGACCATGATGAGCATCAGTGTGTCAGACCACGAACTAAAGTACTTCATAGGCTGACAGTTGCTAATTCTCTTTCTTGGGAGAAACTCTACCCGTGGACTGTTTGTCCCAACATACCTACTGTGTTGCCTTGACTCAGGAAGCAGGAGCTGGAAGCACATGAAGGAAAATTCCTAAATCAGGAATCTGCCTGTACAACTGTAACCACAGGCAGGGCTGTGTTGTAGCTACCTGGGTTGACATGTGGCATTGGTACAGCAGTTATGGATTGTTTCTATTCCTGAAGAATTTACATTGAAAAAATTCTGTATGGCAGTTAAAAGTCCAGGTTTTGCAGGCTACAGCTGGTGCCTTAACTCACTAATGCTGTACTACTACACAACAGTTTTTACTAAATTCTGAGAATTTTTGACATCCTGCAAAATACACAGGTATGGATTCATGGATTTCATTGATAAGTAAAAATCCACTACTCTGAGTAGATTAGTTTTTGTTTTCCTGGTTTATTCTAATGTGGACTCCTAGACTGTGTTTTTAAGTACCCTTGGGAAGATCCTTGTTTTTTTGTTTTCCCCTTTTCCTGGAGTCATAAAATTGTTTGGGTTGGAAGGGACCTTAAAGACCGTCTAGTTCCAACCCCTCGCCATGAGTAGGGACACCTTCCATTAGACCAGGTTGCTCAAAGCTGCATGTCAATGCCAGATGAAACAGCCTTCTGTTTTCCTTCTAACTACCTGTAATCACCTTGCAAGAGCCTTTCTGTCCCTCCATAATTATGTGTCTATTTTAATTATAAGTTGGATAGACTGAACAGAAGTTAATGAAATCCTATGACTTAATAGTTAGGCACTTTGGCAATTCCCAGTTCTGCTCTGCATTTGCCAAATGCTTTCAGCACATTAACTGGAGTAGCAGGACTTAAGTCTTTGGGAGATGAGTTTGTGTAAGGTTTTATATGTATAATTTGTTTGTTTCACCAAACTTTTTTTCCAGTTTTTACAGGATTCATTGAAGTGAATTGAGATGATTTAGCTTGTTGAATATAAACTAGATTTTTCACAATATTCTTCACCAGTGTAGAGTATTCTGAGAAGGCTGGGTCTGTGTTTTAAGGCGGGCGAACTTCTCAGCTGACTGAAGCTGAAGGAGTTTCCTCTTTGTTCTACTAAGCTTGAGCTGTCTGTTTCACAAGATGCAATTGTGTGTCTTTAACTGTGTGAAATGGGCCTTAAGGCATGTTGGTCATGGAATGTTTCTTGATAAGCAGAGTTGGTGTCTTTCCTGTTACAGCCTTCTGCATATGTGCTAGAAGTTTTCAAGAAGGTCAAGTCAAGGTGAGTCCAAAGAGCCTTATTGCTGAACAGATTTGTAACTGATTATTGAATTTCTAGGCCTGGGACTGGCTGGGGTCCTTGAATGGTCTTTCATGCTAGGTATGGGCAGTGCTAGAGAGCCTGGAGTTACTGTTCCTGGCAACCTCTTTTGGGAATGGAATTGGGGATTGGAAATTGTTCCTTCCATGGGAAGTGTGGGATGAAGCTTGTGAATGTGAGTTGCCTGGTTGGAGATGCACATGTATGTGGAGAGTAGTTTGGGAATGCTGAGTATGTAAGGCTGTGTGCCTGCTCCCTGTGCCAGAAGATGCCTGCTGGCCTGGGCTGTAGTCTGTGCATACGCACTGTGCTTTGTGGGCAGTCACAGACTGGCCATGAGGAATGCTTAGCACAGCCTTTGTACCAGAACCTACCAGTATGGAAGTCTTTCCTGCTCATATGTAGCACTGCAGTGGCTGAGACTAATGCTTCTGTCCCTTTGCTTTTTCCTCAGTGAACTGGAAGAGTCTCTCCTGGTGCTGCCCTTCTCCTATGTCCCTGACCTGCTCAGACTCTTCAACGAATATATTCACCTGGGTTCAGATGTTGAACTCCTGTGCCGAGCTCTTCTCTTCCTGCTCAAGTGAGTCCTTTATCTACCCAGACAGTATCTGGGCTTTCTTATACATTTCTGGGTCTGAAGCTCTTGGGAAGCATCCTTGAGAATTAAGATGTGGCCTCTGCAGGAGGTAAGGAATCACAGCAGCCCACAGTGAATGGTGTGTGGGAATGGACTGCAGTGTTGACATGCCCAGATGGGGTTGCTGCTCCTGGTGCCCCAAGTCTCATTGGTATGAAAGATCCTACATCAAGTCTGAAGTGGCACTGTTGGTGGCAGTCATTGTGTAGAGCTTGTGTCCTCAGAGAGATTTTCCCCTTGCACCACCCTATGTTAGACTTCAGAAAATAGCTTTTCCAGATAAATCTGTCCATGCCTGTTATAGTGCTGGTCTGGGGACGCCTAATTTAAGAAAAAAAGTATGTCTGGAACACATAGAGGCTCAGGAGATGGGCTTTCTGATGTTTCTAAGAACAATGCTGCAATACATCACTGCCTGCTTTGTTCCCAGGATACATTTCGGGCAGATCACAGGCAACCACATGCTGGTGACAGTGATAGAAGATCTGAAGAAAACTACCATCTCCAGAGTCAGTGAGGCCCGGGTGAGTGTTGCATCCTCCCCTGCTCCAGGATCTAGAATAACAGGATGGGCCAATGTTTGTGAGCCTGTATTGTCCGTGGTGTCCACTGGGAAAGTTGGTTGGGGGTCTGAGCCCATTTAAATTAAACCATCCTCCTTTGCAAAATAGGCTGCCTTTTCCTTATGTTCTTCCTTATGTGAGCCTAGCTGTGCTCTGTTCCTTATTTACTCTTGGTTATGTGATATATGTATTTGGGCCTTGGCTCACTAGTTTTCTAAATATGTAGGAGGTAAATAAACTTTCTGTTTTTCTTGGGCTTTTCTGTGGGCTGCTATCTTAATGCAGACTGTGCATCTACCCAGAGACAGCTTCAGGTGCCTGTCAGCAATTTGTCTTTCAGAACAATCAATGTATTATAGCTACTCTTAATAGAGGACTGTGGGGAACCAAGTGCAGGACTGTCTGTTCTCCTACTCGGATGAAGTTTACATTTAAATGATGTTGCATTCTTTAAAGCTGCGGATTGCCCTGCTTTTGTCATTTCTTGGCAAAGGGTTGCCAGTGCAGGACCCTGTGCTCCCTAATGAGCTTGAGATGTGCCTAACAGTGTGGTGCTGGTCTGTCTCTGCAGGATGTGCTGGGATTCAACATGGCAGGGCTCCAGTTCCTGAAGAGGGAGATTGAGGCCAAGGATGAGGTGACATTTTTTGCTGATGCCACTGAACGTTTTGAGGAGAAAAAGAGGAAGAGGAAGAAGAAAGAGAAGATGGTTCTTGCAGTGCTCTAGCATTTGCTGCCCAAGACCTAGAGCACCTGGATAGAGTCATGTAACCTCAGTGCTGGCCATGGAAGCATTCTTGTGGCTGAACATCTGTGCTGATGTCCAGTGGCTGGGACAAAGTCTGTCCCCTCCCCATGTGGTATAACCAGCTTGTAAACCTAACTCAGAATGGTTGTCTCTGAGGTGAACTATCTGTAGTCTGTTGCAAATGTATGCATTTGGACTGTTTCTGAGGTGACTGTCAAAGGCACATGCTCTGCCTCCAGGGGAATGCCCCTTAGCAACTGAGCTGATTATCCTGTGAAAGAGATCAGCTCATTTTGGCAGCACAGATTCAATGGAATCCAGCACATGGACTGCTGGTGAGACCATGCCCTGTCCAGGGAAGGCAGCCGGCAAGATTTCATACTGGTTTGACACCTGTTCATGGCTTGTGGCCTCTGGACAAGCTCAGTGACTTCTGCTCAAGTGTGAGAATTTGGTCTACAGCTGCTCAGTTTTTCAGTGGGATGGGAAGAAACACGTCTGTACTCTGTTAAAGGAATATTTATATATGCCCTACAAGACTATTTTGTTCACAGTGTTTTGTCCTGATATTTATCTAGTAAAGCCTCAGCTGCCTTGCCCTGTTTGTCAGTTTTGAAAGGATTTTTTTCAGGGAATAAAATTAGTGGGAGCAAATGAAAGGGCTGCCACCCAGGATTGTGCTGTTCTGCAGAGCTGGCAGACTGAGCGGAGAAGTGTGGGTTGTTTGCATTGTACTTGATCCAGTTTTTAGAAATTGCACTGGATTGTTGCAATGTTGTACTTGTCCTGTATCAGACAAATGAGTTTATTTTCTCAGCAGGGGCAGAGAGGCAGGATAAAGTGAGCAAGGCTCTGCTGCTCTGGTAAGCTATTAGTTTGTAGTACATGCTGTGTTTTTTACCAGTAATCACAGGTTTGGTGGATGTGGAGGCAGCTTCTAGTTACCTTGCTGGCTGTTGGGCCTCCATGTCTGACTTGGGTACTCAAAGCTGAATTTCTAACCTGCATTTCTAACCTGAATTTCTAACCACATTTCATGTGGATTTTTATTTGCATCCCAGTTTTTGCTGAGTGCTGTTTTTGACTTAGGTTCTCTATTACTAGCAAGTGTGCAAAAAGCAAACAGTTCAGTTGCTCAGTCTTTAGGCAGCACCTCAGGTGTAATAATTACACCTCTTAGAGTAACTGTTGTTCGTAAATAACTTTGTCAGGGGGGCTGATTGTTCACTTGATTCTGCAGAGTCTGGGTAATTTACAGGAGCATGTTGTACTCCAATTCCAGCAGGTGGGTCTCAGACTCTTTACAGAAGTAGCAACCTTCATACAGCTCTGCCAGATGTTTCTGGGTGCCTCTCTAATTTTATATTTGTCCGGATATGGGTGAAACTTGTGATCAAACACTCCACTCAAACATGTCTCCATCCTGACCTATTCTGTTCTCTTTCATTGTATTCTGTTCTTTTTCTTTATTCCTCCCAGAGAAGACCCTCATAAGAGAGTCTCATAAGAGGAATTACTGCAGTGGGAGGAAGAGGATGCACTGTAGGATGATAAATTTTGTTGGTAAACTCAGTTGACATCTGGTTTCCATGTCAGCTGCTGCTGAAATGGGCAAGCTCACTGGGAAAACAAAGAAAAGTGTTACAAATGGAGAGGTGGCTTGTGACACCACAGTGCACCCTCAGCCACGGTGAGTGAGGAGAGAGATCCCAAAACCAGGTACCAAAAGGGGACGGCTGACTGTGCCTCCATATGATGTGCCCTGTTTATCTTAGTGACACGGAGATAGGTGCTATGGAACCTACGTAATGAGCTGCTGTTTGATGATCCTCTGGAAGGCCTGGGATAAAAAACACAGCCACAGGTGCACATGAACTCAGGGACTGGTGAGAAGGTTGTAAAGGTATAAAAGAGTGGCTTGGGATGCAGAGTCATCATTAGGATGACAGGTGTTTCCTCTGCTCTAAGTTGGAAGAGGGGGAATTCCTTCACCTTTGTCTCCATTTGCTGTCACTGGTATTAGGGAAGAATTCTTGGAAGAAAAGGTCCTTCAGGTGGTGGGAAGTTGTCCTTTCATAGCTGCTGACACAGGCTCCCCTGCTGAACTTGCCCTCTGGTTCTCTGATTAGTATCACTTGTGACTGGCCTGTACTAATGCAGTACTGGGGTGGCTACTGAGAGCTCAGCATATGCTTTAAATGGAAGAGGTCTATCCTGTGCCAACAATCCACTGATACACTAGAATTCTGATATCCTTGGGTACATCAACTTGCCCTTTCTTAGGTGAAATTCCCTGGATTTACAAACCTGAGCAGGAAAGCAATTGCAAGTACAGGGCCAGCTTAAATCTGTATCAGAATATGTGTCTCAACAGTGTGAATGAGAGAGTACAAAACTGGCATTCACATTTCACACTGGTGAAAGCTATTATTAATCCCCAGTCATGGGATTCTCAGTCACTCTGAAGTGTTGAGAGAACAAGTCACGTGCATGTATCAAGGAAAATTCCCCATCTCTCTCAGGATGTCAATGTTGGAAAAAGGATGAAGCACAGAAAATCACCTGGTGGAAATGAATTCATTCATAAACAGGAAGCAGAACTGCATTCAGATACACAAATAAGATGGCTCACAAAAAGAGCCTGAGATGTTTCTCTTAGTCACTGCTGTGTAAGTAGGAACAAGGAGGGGGAAAAGGCCATCTCTAAGTGGCTCAGTCTCCCACTGAACAGAGACAAGCATTTGAAGGTCCTCATGTCTGACAGTGAACAAGAGGATATAAGCAGAATCCCTCTCTGTCAAGTGTAACTGTGTACTCATAACCCTCATCTGGTGTCTGCAGCTAATTAAAGGCAGGTGAACACACAGAAAGTTAAGCTTATGATTGTGAAAGCAAACAGAGACTTAGAAGACCAGGGCCGGTCAGCAACTCTCTTAGAGAATTCACAGTTGACTTCAGTGAAACCTGCTACATGCTGAGTACTTAAAAAAAAATTTCAGGTGCCTCAGCACCTAAAACCTAACCCCTTTTGAAAAACAAACCTGTTGGGAACCATTCAGTACTGTAGTAGGGTTGAAATACTGCAATCTTTCCAACTGAAATGTTCGCATTTCAGACACCCATGTCAGAAGTTAATGCAATTTTGGGACCGCTTTTCCCATTAATAGGGAACAGGAAAAATATTTATTCACACTTAATCTGATTAAGTAAATGAAAAAGCCTACACTGGGATGTTTCTCTACCGTTGGACTAAAATTCAGGTATTTCAGTGCTGTTGATCCTCATGTTATTCTTCTAGGGTTCTAACCTGTAGTGAAAAAGGAGAGAAAATTAACATAAAAGAAAAAAACCCAAACCAGTAAACCCCCAGCTCTACCTCTGTACAGTTGTTGAAGCAAACCCAATAATTCTGTCCAGATTGTTGGCAAGTGTTTCGGGAGCACTGTGATTGCTACACACTGGCTTCAGTATATTTGTCCTCTTGCTGTTGGAAGGGAACATCATGAGAAAGAGTTCTTACATGGGCTTCAACTAGATCAAGAGTTTGCTTTTATTGCACAAATTGAATGGCACAAAAATAACTACACATTCAGGATGGGTGGTCTACTTAGGAATAGCAAAGATTTTCATGGGCAGCTCCCTGTGCAGTATTTAATTCTGAGTACGTTAAGAGAATCTTTGTGAAATGTTTTAAATACAAATGTGAAATAACTAAGAAAATATAAATGAGATAAAACTAAGTTCGATCAGGTAATGCTTGATCAGTGATTTTTGCTTGTTGGTCTCTACTAGGAGGAGTGGCAAATTTGTGATCTAGTATTGTCAAGTGTAGTATTGCAGGGATGTTTCCATGTCTCGATGAGAATCACTGACTGGTGATAACCACCTGGAAAGGTGGTTACAGTGGTCACAGTGCCTCTGCAATGACTTAACTGTTTCTATTCTGGATGGCTGAATAAGACTATTTAACCAACTACAGGACTTAACCTAGGAGTGTCAGCGTTTCACGTTTGGTGAGACTAAACCAACCAGTCCAGAGTTCCTTGACATATTTGAGATGGATATGGCTTTGAGTCCAGGAGATTTCAGGGGGAGTAATGTTCAAAGAGGCACTAGGTACGGTGTTTTGGTAGTATGGGGTAGCTGTAGCTAGCTTCAGCAGCAATTATCAATCAATTCACAAAAGGACACTGTCAGAACAGAAGGGAGATTTGGCTATGGCCATGGCAGCTGTGATTAGTAGCTAGAGTAGCCATGTAGGAGGAGAATACCATGTAGTTAATTCCTCTCCACTTGGGCTTTTAATGGGAGATCACACTGATTAGAATTTCTCTTGGGACAGGGTGTGTCTCACTAAAATGTGAACTGACTGGGTGACTATTTCTCTTCCATTTCAACACAAAGTGAGAGAAGTTTGTCTAAACTGCCTTCATGATGAGCTCCAGGTTGTAAATCCCTAAGGTGGAAGGCATTAAACTGGATGTTTTTATAGACTATAATTGCATATTACTCTGGGGGTAAAATTCCACACTGGAAAAGGTAAGAAGATATTTAAACAGGAAAAAAAGCTATATTTGATGTATGCTGGGCAGTCCTAGAGCAGATGCAGCAGTCAGAGGTACATGTCTGCGAAGTTTTTCAGAGCTGACTGATGTGGCCGCTTTTCTTTTTCTCCAGAGGAGAGGAAATGAGATACAGCTGGGATTTCTTTACTGACTTGTTAGATAACATGGCAGGCTTACAGATGTTAAAGTTGAAAGAAAAAGATGATGTCAGTGTTACACATATGAAGCAAATGGGGACTGTTGAGCTGAGAAGAAACATCCATAGGGTTCCTGTTTATGAACTGTCACCATCAATTGTATTGTAGAGCATCTGAGTTCATATGGATGAGATGAAACACCAGCCTAATGTTAAACATGTTGACTGGTGGTTTCATGAGAAATTCCCAATAAGGCTTCCTTGTTGTCAGGGAAGACTTACCCATTGTAAGACACTATTAGAAAGTGTCAAAAGGAGGACTACAAAGATGGTGAAGGGCCTTGAGGGGAAGCTGTACGAGGAGTGGCTGAGGACACTTGGTTTGTTCACCCTGGAGAAGAGGAGACTGAGGGAGACCTCATTGCAGTCTTCAACATCCTTGTGAGGGGAAGAAAATGGGGAGGTACTGGTCTCTTCTTTGCGGTGACCAGTGACAAGACCTGAGGGAATGGCCTGAACTTGTGTCAGGGGAGGTTTAAGTTGGATATCAGGAAAAAGTTCTTCACCCAGAGAGTGGTCAGGCACGGGAACAGGCTCCCCAGGAAAGTGGTCACAGGACCAAGCCTGACAGATCAAGAAGGGTTTGGATAATGCTTTCAGGCACATGGTGTGATTCTTGGGGCTGTCCTGTGCAGGGCCAGGAGCAGGACTCAGTGATCCTTGCAGGTCCCTTCCAGCTCAGAATATTCTGTGATTCTCTGTATAGACTGATTGTCTGAGGCTACAGAAATGTGGTGTATGAAACAGTGTGTGCAGAGGATTGTGTGTATTTGAATTTGTCACATTAAGGTTGCTCTATCTGTAAGGCTCCTGTCCCTTATGAGACTTGCTGTCAGTGTCAAAGGGTCATCAGTACGACTAGGTTTTAGAAAGTGAAGTCTTAAAGAGAGGCTGATTTATTAGGGCTTAACTGTAATAAATCCAGCTGCCAGGACTTGTTTAATGTGGAAACAGTAAGTGAAGGATTTGGGAGAAGACTGAGGAGGCTCTGCTATGAGTGCCTCCATGGAGCTGAGCAGTTGTAGTAATTTGCAGATCTCTTGTAATGAATCCTTTAGTTAATATCATCACAGTGGCTCCCTTCTCTTGTCTCAGGTGACCATGTCAGTGTGATGGGTGCATGACAGCTTTGCTGTGAGTTCCATGAGGTTTGTTCATGCTGATGATGAAGCCAAGAGGAGGTAAACAACTGTACTTTAATTTGCAGCTGGTATCACTGCATCCAGTACTTACATTAACTAGAAGGCTTTCGGGGTAGTGTAATCCGTAGCCGTGGCTTGGGGCTTGTAGGAACTGCCCGGACTGTTGCTGCCATCCCTCCCTGAGGGTATCCTTCTGGGCGGCACTCATAAATGGCACTGGCTAACACAGGTGGAATGTCATGTTAAAGATCTAACCCTTTTGGTACATTTATTTAAAATAACGTGTGGGGGTTGAAATGAATTCTGGAAATAAGATCGTGAAATGTCTTGAATGTGGACTACTGTCCTCAGCTCAAAGATTAAAGGACCAGGTAAAATACTGGGGAAGGGCATATGTTTCGGAGGCTGGTCTGCAACTGTGTGTCTGAGGACTGGGTGAGTGGGAACAGAACAGCAGCTGGTTTTGCTGCAATGCCACCAGTTCTGTCTCAGCTCTGCAATTACAGGCATGAAAGGTTTCTTTGTGGCACTACAAAGTAAATTTGGGAAGTTTCAATGTTGCCTCCGAGCATATAAAGCCTTAATGGAGTTGCTGTTAGCTAGTACTCTGATCGGACTCAGAAGACCC